TTTCATTTCCAGGCTTGACTTGTGCTGAGTGAAAGTGAAACAAATTGTCCTGAAAACACTTGGTGCTAAAAATACTTCAGACCTCTCTTTTTTAATCCACTTTTCCACCGTTCGCCCTCATCTGTACCACTTTTTTCGTTTTTGAGTCTTGACTTTATTTTCAACTCAGCATTTTATAAAAATAAATAAATAAAATGCTCTGAGGAAGGCGAGTGTGTGCAGTGGGCCGAAAAGGTCAGGGTCTCAATGCCAGCTCCAGACCAATGCATCCCTGGGATGCATCCAGTTGAACCTTTCCCAGCTCAGCTCTTCCATTTACAACCACTGCAATTATTTCCTTAAAAAAAAATAAAAATAAATATATATATATACTTGTACCTAAATATAAATTCATCTTTACCCTCATATTTTTATCTGTAAATTATCTACCAGTTAGCTGTCAAATCAACAAAGAGTCATTGTTTTTCCCTTGATGGTGTTAATGTCCATCCACAGAAGCTTTGTCTTCATCTTCATCTTCAGTCACTGTTGTTGTACAGAATGAATGTATTGTTACTATCCCTTATACTCTCTCAGTTGTGTTCTATAAACATATATGTTTTATATATGTTTATATATATATATAAACTATATATGGATATATACTTTATATACATTTAAATATCTGTTTTCCTGTCAACAATAAGAACTCATAGGTTTATATATATGTAAATATATATTATATATATTTACATATATAGTTTATATATATATATATATACATATATATATTTAAATCTAATCTGTTTTCCAGTGATCAATAACAATGCATTGGTATGTGCTCTCTCTCTCTCTCTTCCTCTCTCTCTCTCTGTCTCTTGCGTTCTCTAGCCCATTAGCCCAACATCAACTCTAATCTGTTTTCCAGTGATCAATAACAATGCATTGGTATGTGCTCTCTCTCTCTCTCTTCCTCTCTCTCTCTCTGTCTCTTGCGTTCTCTAGCCCATTCTCCGTCCCCAGAATATTCATTAATATATTCCTAATCTTAATCCATACCCTCACTCTAATCTCACTTTAATCCTAATCTTATCTCCAGATTAAATCTTCTCGCCCTCTCGTTCAGTGGGGAACCTCAAAATGTTCCCATAAGGACACGTTGTCTCCACAGTAACAGAATTTTCTAAAAAAAAGTCCCCAGAAGTACTACTGTACTAGGAATACACATACAGTATACAACTACTGCATACTACTGCAGTCACAACTCGGCTCATTTTCACTTTTCTAATTTTTTTTTCCCCCCACATAATTTGTTCATTTGCGCCCCCCCCCCCATGACAGAAAATAATTGAGAACCACTGGTTTAGAAGAAGAAAGTCCATCCTCAGTTGTTATGGTGACAGTGAGTCTTTGGTGAACTGACTGATCTCATGACACACAATGGCTGCTCTAAATACACTGCCTCAAGAAATATTACGAAGAGTGACAGCGACAGGCGACGCCGGCTTAAATACTTTGATGGAACTGTAATTAAGACACCAGCAGAAGAAGAAGAAGAAGAAACAGCGAGCCTGAGGCGAACGAGGGAAATGAAGACAACAGGAATGTGAGGAGGAAACACATGAAAAGTTAATTCTGCTCTGCGGGGCTTCAGTCCGGGCGTCTGTCAGGAGATGAGACTGAAAAATAGCCATTAAGTCTCATTAGCCACGGCCCAGCGGGCCTTCTGCCGCGTAATGAGCGCTAATCCAGCTGAGTCTGGACGCAGATCATCGGACCACATGTGGAACACACACACACACAGCTGTATCATTAATAATACACCAACAAACAAATCAAACACAAAAAGACTTCGACTCCATCTCAGTTAGACCGCTCGGATGTTTTTTTTTGTTGTTTTTTCCACAAGGGGTCATTTTTTTTCAGCACATCTGTCACATGTCACATGATTATGATTTTTAATGCTGACACTTGTCAGATTAACTGCCGGAGCTGCGAAGCAAAACTGCAGTTTAGCAGCCAGAATATGAAGTCATTGACTGAATGTACGTGCCTCTGCAGTTTTACCCTGAAAGGTGTGCAAAGCTGGATTCTCCTTATACAGCAGAAGAACGCTTAGCTTCAGTTGTGGAACTGTGAGCTCTTCAAAAAAAAAATTTTTTTCTTTTGCTTCATTCCTGTTTACATCATGATTCCATGCATTTTATATGTGTAAAAAAACTGGGGCAGCTGACATGACGCTCCTGTGATTCTTGTGCCCCCTGGAGGAAGACGGCAAAAGCTGTCATCAGCTGTACGGCCACTTGCGTTCTAGTTAGGGATGTCTGATAATATCGACCGACCGATATTAGCATAATTATGTAATATCTGTAAGAATCGCTATCGCTTTTTTTTTCACCAATAATGAAAATCCAATAACAAAATGCCTGGGTTTCGCCAAATGATGTGTGACCTAAAAATAGTTTTGGGGGCAAAACAGCTGTATATGAAAGTGAAAGTCAGTAGATGGCAGCATTCCAGCTCCGACATCCGTGGGTGCAGTTCTACTAACTTAAACAGGACACGTCTCTCAGGCGTCGGCCAGTTTGTCAAACGTAGAGCTGCGTTACGTTCTGACCAAACTACAGGAACTTTTGTGAGAGTTGTTTTCACTATCTCAGTATCAGCACTATTTTCATTCTTCCTTCAGTCTTTTTTTTTTACTATTGAAATCCCTCCAATACCTTCGTTATCATAACTGTTTACTGGCCTTTATTAAGATGTATCATGTGACTGTGCAAAGTAGGCAGAAAAGAATTAAGACCAAATTAAGTTCGCCTGCCAATTCTGTGCACGGCTTCTGCAAATTGGCTGTATATATGTGAAAGGTCACATATGGCCCTGTCCCTGTTTTACCCGTGCGAGCTAAAATAATTCTGCAGTGTCAGCTTAACGGTATCAAGAAAAAATGAAAAAAACTTCATCAGGGATTGTACTCATATTTTCTCGTATCTCTGGTCTGTCTGTCGGCTCCTTAACTGCCAGTTTCGACAACTACTTGGATTTCATGTGTCAAACTGTGGCCCTCTTAGTCATGTTTGTATGGCCCTCAGGAGCTTAAAAAGCATTTAATAAAGATCATGCAGCAGAGTTTCTTAACCTGATAAGGTGGGCAAGTAATGAGAGTGACTCATTACCATCTAAAGGTAAAAACACAGGAACCAACCAATCAGAACAGGGCTGTTCAATGCCTGGGTCCTCTGACCAAAAGCATGTCCCTCACACTTCAGTTAGACATCAGGGAACAGTATTCATTTTGCAGAAAAGTAGAATAATGTGTCCCCTTTAAGAGACCTGGTCTCCGATGTGCGGCAGAGTGTGACTCATGTGGCCAGTGGCCTTGGGTGTCGCCACGGGTTGAGTAACTTTCTGCTGCAGTGGTCACAGAGTTTAACACTGAAGTTACTTCAGGATCAGCCTGTGACCCCGAGGCCTGATGTCCCTGTCACTGTGTGTGTCTCTTCCACCACGCACACTCACGCGTATTGTAGCAGGAACTGTTTAGCCCAGAGAGCTAAGTTGCTAAGTGGGAATAATATGAATGTTTTTTAGTTTCCGTTGTTTTCTATGAAGGACACCGATTTACGTGAAGTCAAATATTTTCATCTACTTTACTTTGGTTGATGAGCTGTATCCTTGCTAGCGGCGATCCATAGACCTTCTAGCTAAATAGCTCCGCTCTGTGAGCTGTACTGACAAATAAAGTAAATATGGTGGAACTAGTTAACCACCAAAAAGTACTGCAGAACCAGAGCAGCATTTGAAGGATTATCTGATTTTCTTCAGCACATCAGTCACAGCACTGATTGGGTTTTTGGGGCTTTTGTAGAAAATCCCATCGAGCCTGACATTAAAATCTGTGACTATGTATTTAAAAATGAACACAAATGAGATTAAATCAAATTCAACCACTGCCTAAATTTAGATTTAAATTAGAATTATTACTGCACTCCACCATCATCGATGTTGTTTTCTCTCAGAGTGAAGCCTATTGTTTCCAGATTATTAATTATTATACAGGGTAAAACCGATGACACAGCTGTGGGAGGTTTTTGTACGCAGCGTGTTGTTGTTTAGCTACATGGCCAACAGCACTGATCTAAACAGTTTCTCTGTTGCCTTCCACATGTCGTCAGTCCGTGATACACATCAGCGCTCAGGCATTTAAAGCTCTCTCTCATGAATAATAAGTTGAGCCAATTTCCCCGAGCTGCATGAAGCGAAGATGAAGCAGAGATGTAGGATCATGTTTTCACTGTGGGAACTTGACACACACATTACTGTGTATGAAAGAGTTGATTCACAGAACTGAACACAGTGTTTCGTTTTGTTGTACGTTTTTGGTCTCCTGCAGTTGTGTTACCACTAATTTTAACGTTTGACTGCTATATTTGACACTAACTATTAGCTATCTTAAAATGCTAATAGTCAGGAGTAATTATTTCATAATCTCAAGTGTACAATTTAAATAATTGACCAAAAAACCTTAATGTTTTTTCCTTATCTATTGCACAGTTCATCAGATATTTTCGATTTATTATTTGTAACATTAATGTCATAGATTTCACCTTTTACTTTTAAATGATTTATATAATATTATTATTTATATAATATTATTTAAATAATATAAATTATATATTTCATGTCTAATACTTAAAAATATATATTTAATAAATGTATTGGATTTATTAATATTTTACTAAGATTTACTAATAAATAATAAAATTAATAAATCTTTTACAATTTAATCTTGTAGACCTGTTTCTGTGTTATTGTTTTTTAATAATTATTTATTATTTGTTTCCTTTAAGTTTTATACCTTAAACTGTTTCTAAAAATGTTAGTTTCCTTATTTTTTGCAAAATACAGTATATACAGTACAAGAGACAAACCAATTTTGTCTGCTGCTTTAAACCGTGTAGTAAAACTCCACAACAATAGGTGGCAGTGTCGAGCACAGGCCCCAAAACATCCACCACGAGAAAACGGAAAGAAAGGAGGAAGAATCCTCTCACACGTGTTTTCCAACATGTCTGCCTGTCGTGTTGTTGTGTGCTGAGAATTTCGGAATACTTTGTTTTATTCGTGAAAAACCTACACAGGAAAAGTGACCGAGCTCCGGTTCGAGGGAACTTTAACGGTTCACCATGGCCCAGAGAAAGAAGAAGTTTACAAAGAAGAAGAGACATTCGGCGAACAGAGAGTATGAGGCGGACTCTGACAGCGGAGAGTTCGAGGTTGCTGCCGAAATCAAAGACGATGATTCTGTAAGAACATGTAAACACTCGGAACAATGTAGTAAAACATTCGTGACGCAGTAATACACCTGAACGTAGTCTACGGAAGAACTAGCGTATTTTTCCGTTGGGAAATGTACAGCTCGTGCCTGTGATAGCGTCTGGGGGTATAGCTCAGTGGTAGAGCATTTGACTGCAGATCAAGAGGTCTCCGGTTCAAATCCGGATGCCCCCTGAAATGTTTTCCCATTATTTACGAAATAATTTATGATTTCTTTAAAACTATAAATATATACAAAGGCCTAACTCAAACTAAATCCTCTATCGCTCTCAGATTTTCACGGTATCCCCTGTGGTTGTAATAAAATAAATTTAATATGTTCTGTTTAGGCTTTATAGACTTTGTCGTCATAGATATTTGTTAATTATTTAAACATTAAACTACTCCAAAATGTATTTACTGCCAGTAAATCCCCAATGTAAACATGTAATTTATGTCCACATTTTTCTTCAGATTATCAGATTGTTAATATCTTAATTTATTTTTAAATAATTGTAAAACCACTTTTACCTTTTTAGAAAATCAAATGGCACAAAATTCCTATAAAGGCTACATTTTTTCTTAACTTTTCTCAACAACAACCTTAAAATTGACATCATCAAATATAACATATTTAGTATTTACTACGATTGGTTAAATTTAGATATTCTTATTTTTTTGTGTTTTTTCATTCAGTCTTGTGCTGTGTTTTTTTTTCCTGGTCCTTTCTCAGGCTTGTAAGAAGCTGCCGCAGTTCCCTGCCGCGTCAGACTGTCTGTCCGATGTGGAGCCGGACACCAGGAAACTGGTCAGAGCCCAGAACAAGAAGAAGAAGAAGTCTGGAGGTTTCCAGTCCATGGGTAAGAGGCAGAAAAGAGACTGAGACAGTAGTCTGTCGCTCAATTAGTTCTTCATTTCCTTGTGTATGTTTTTTTACTGTGAAAATAACATGAAAATACTCAAAGTGTAGGTTAAAAGTTTAAATACAAAAAACAATATTATTTTATTATTTATTTTTTATATTTTTCACTATCGTATATCAGAGAATTCCCTTCTTTGTAGAATTCTGGAGTCACTGATTTGTCTCATCTGAGGACTGATATCAAGTGTTCAGTCAGTTTTAGGAAAATAGAACAAAACAGATGAAGTTTGATCAAAACCTTTTGTAAAGTGTTTTTTTTTTTTTCATTTTACCAGGTTTACCATTAAATTTTGCTTAAAAATGTGATGTTTGCATTGATTACAAAATTGTTTGTTTTTCACAATTGGAAAATAAAATCCAATAAAAAGTAATAAAACTCAACACTGATGACCAATATATACTGATGTTCCTCACTCTGTTCCATGTCATTCTAGGTCTCAGTTTTCCTGTTTACAAAGGAGTCATGAAAAAAGGTTACAACGTTCCCACTCCCATCCAAAGAAAAGTGAGTCATTCGTACCTAGCGGTACAACCATCTAACAGCACTACTGCAGAAGGGTCAGTGTTTGATGCCTGATTCTCCTCTCTCCTCCTTCAGACCATTCCAGTCATTTTAGATGGGAAGGACATAGTGGCCATGGCCCGCACGGGCAGCGGTAAGACGGCCGCCTTCTTGGTTCCCATGTTTGAGAAGCTGAAGGCCCCTCAAGCCCAAACAGGAGCCAGGGCCCTCATCTTGACCCCCACAAGAGAGTTGGCCTTACAGACCATGAGGTTCACAAAAGAGGTCAGTCTGAGGAGGAAAGAAGCTCCTGTTCTTTTTTTTTTTTTTTTGTTCCATATTTTCACACCCCTATTTATTTTTCTCCATATTGCACGATTCTTTAAATCCTCTGGCGCCCCCCAGAGGAAACGAGTCACCCTAACACTAACACATTGAAAACCACCAATTTTTGAATATTTGGTTAAACTAAATTCTTTGTCTGTGTGGTGTTGTGAAATCACCCTAACACTAACACATTGTAAACCACCAATTTTTGAATATTTGGTTCTAAATTCTTTGTCTGTGTGGTGTTGTGTAGTTGGGAAGGTTCACGGGCCTCAAGACTGCACTGATCCTGGGCGGAGACAGGTACGAGACTCCTGAGCCGTGTTCACGTTCTATACCTTCATAATGGATTTAAATTAAACAAAAATCATCTGTTCTGTTCTGCTCCAGAATGGAAGACCAGTTTGCTGCTCTGCATGAAAACCCAGACATGTGAGTGTTTTCATTTCTGACTGCCCCCTATCTGCGTTGGAACTGTACTACCGTGACTAATAATCCCGACGTCTGCTCGTCCCACAGAATCATCGGAACGCCCGGTCGTCTGATGCACGTCGTGCAGGAGATGAACTTGAAGCTGCAAAATGTGGAGTACGTGGTGTTTGACGAGGCTGACAGGTGAGAACACGAACACCGCGTTTGTATTTTTACAACTGTTAAAAATTTACCAGCGTACATCTGTCAACACGTGTTCCTTCTCCACACAGGCTTTTTGAAATGGGTTTCGCTGAACAGCTTCAGGAAATCATCCGCAGACTCCCAGACAGCAGACAGACGCTGCTGTTCTCGGCCACGCTGCCCAAGTTACTGGTGGAGTTCGCCCGAGCCGGTACTGTTTGATCACTGTTTCTGTGATGACTCAAAGTTTGGAATCATTTTTTTTTTCTTCATAAACTCAAGGTTCCAAAATGACTTTGTGATTTTCCAGGTCTGACTGAACCGGTGCTGATCCGTTTGGATGTGGATTCTAAACTCAGTGACCTAATTAAGGTAAATGGTATGACATCATGTGACAGAGGCTGTTGATTGGAGTTTATGTTCTTAGTACAGTTAATCTAGTAAACAGTATTAATATTCTCCACGTTTTAGAACAGATAAAAAAATGTGTGATTAATTTGTAAGTTAATCGTGCACAAAATTATGCAATAAATTGGATAAAATATTTTTTTAAATGTAAACAAAAAAAGCCATTTAAAAAGAACGTAACCAAGAGTGGTTTTGAAGCGATGAAAAAGTGAAGAACCGTATTTTAATAATGTAAAATAAAATACAAAATGTACTTAAAGCATAATAAAAAATACAATTTTAATTCATTAATTTGACCAATTCGTTGCACAATCTTCGTAATATTTGATTTAAGACATATCACATAACGTACTTGGAGAAAAAACTACTAACTTCATCAAAGAAAATTGGCAATTAATTTTTTTTTGTAATTTAAACGTTATGAAAATATGTTACCAAATGACATATTAAATTAACATGTCTAAAATCTGTGTTTTTTTCACATCGTTTGGAAACTAAAAAAAGCTATATTAAAATAACATGACTAAAATCTCTGTTTTTCTCACATCGTTTGGAAACTAAAAAAAGCTCAAATTAGAATTTGACCTGTGAAATCGAACCCTCTCATCCGTGGATCATATTCTCCTGCTCTGTCTTTGTGCAGCTCATGTTTAAAAAAAAAAAACACGTCTTGTTTTTTCCCCCAGTTGTCGTTTTTCCACCTGCGTGTGGACAACAAGCCGGCGATGCTGCTGCACCTCCTGAGGAACGTGGTGAAGCCTCAGGAGCAGACGGTGGTGTTTGCAGCCACCAAACATCACGTAGAATACCTGAAGGAGGTGAGATGGAAACGACAGGTGACCGACGCCGCGCACCGAAGCGTCAGCCTGAAAACTTTGTGTTTTTCCTTCTGACCTGCAGCTGATCTCCTCAGAGGGCCTGGAGTGTGCCTACATCTACAGCGCCCTGGACCAGACCGCCAGGAAGATCAACATCGGGAAGTTCGTGCATCGGAAAGCCATGGTGCTGATTGTGACTGACGTGGCAGCCCGTGGTATAGACATCCCCCTGCTGGACAATGTCATCAACTACAACTTCCCATCCAAGCCCAAGCTGTTCCTGCACAGAGTTGGTGAGTGTCTGTAAATGGAACGTTTTGGATTTTTTTTTAGAATAAAGAAGTGGGGTTTGAAGAGGTATGGTAGGTTAGATTGCTGCCTGGTGTATAAAAGGTTTGGGGTTTGATTCCACGTACTCCTAAATCATGAGGAAGGGGGTGCGATCTTAACTGCCAACTAAATCATTTTGTTAAATATAAAACACATTTATCTGTTTTCCCTGTAAGGTCGTGTGGGACGTGCCGGTCGCAGTGGCGTCACCTACAGTTTGGTTTGTCCAGACGAGATGGCACTTGTTTATGACCTTCACCTCTTCCTTGGAAGACCCGTTCAGTTCGCTACGCCAGAACACACAAGAGGTAGAGGGCGGTGAAAAAAACTTGACCCATCATCACCTGGGGGAATCGAACCCTTCACCTAAAAAATGTTCTGTATGTTCGACGGGCCCTGTCTCTCTGTTCCCTAGATTCCGACGGCGTGTTTGGCCGCGTCCCTCAGAGCGTCTTGAAGAGGTATGGTAGGTTAGATTGCTGCCTGGTGTATAAAAGGTTTGGGGTTTGATTCCACGTACTCCTAAATCATGAGGAAGGGGGTGCGATCTTAACTGCCAACTAAATCATTTTGTTAAATATAAAACACATTTATCTGTTTTCCCTGTAAGGTCGTGTGGGACGTGCCGGTCGCAGTGGCGTCACCTACAGTTTGGTTTGTCCAGACGAGATGGCACTTGTTTATGACCTTCACCTCTTCCTTGGAAGACCCGTTCAGTTTGCTACGCCAGAACACACAAGAGGTAGAGGGCGGTGAAAAAAACTTGACCCATCATCACCTGGGGGAATCGAACCCTTCACCTAAAAAATGTTCTGTATGTTCGACGGGCCCTGTCTCTCTGTTCCCTAGATTCCGACGGCGTGTTTGGCCGCGTCCCTCAGAGCGTCCTGGACGACGAAGGCTCTCATCTCGTCACGTTGCACGAGAACTCCCTGGACCTGCTTAACCTCCAACGGGTGTCGGAAAACGCCTACAAACAGTACCTGAAGTCCAGACCCAACCCTTCTCCAGAGTCCATCAGACGGGTCAAGAACACAGACCTGTCCACCATGGCTGTTCATCCCTTATTAGGTCAGTTAGGGGGAGGATGACCAGCAGGGGGTGCTGTTGCTGATGGTGGTTTCTGCTAACACAGTTGTTGTTGTTTCAGGGTCGGCTTTAGATCAGGTGGAACTGCAGCACCTTCAAATAGTCGACGCCATCAAGGGCTACAAAGCCAAATCGGTGAGTTACGGTCCATGCAGACAGGGGTTGTCAAACTTATGGTCTGTGGGCCAAAACCCGCCCACTAAGATGTTCGGTCCGGCCCGCTTGATGAATTTTGAAAAAAAAAAATTCCAAAAAATAAACAAACAAAAGAAACATCTTCTTCTTCCAGACTATCTTTGAAATCAACTCCACCAGTAAGACCCAGGCCAGCGAGGTGATGCGAACCAAACGCTCCAAGGACGCGCGGTCCGTGGACAAATTCAACAAACACCGAGAGGACGTGGCTGCAGAGAGTCGACTTCACGAGCCTGTGAAACCAAACGCAGATGATGACC